ATTTCTTTTGTTTTAACATTATAATGTTGGTAACAATAANAAAAAAAAAAAAAAAAAAAAAATAATATAGTCACGATATTTTTATATAAACATTTTATCACAAGAATCGCAAAATATTCAGGAAGTAAAAAATTCGTAAGCTTTTTAAAATCATATCTAATATTTGAAAAAGCATTACTAAGTAATAACGATACGTTTATTGCCAAAAATCTTCACCCCTTTCAAAAAGTGTAAACTGTTGTTCCTATTTAGAATTTAGATTGGCCTAGTTTCGATATAAATTGTATTTATTTTTCAAGAAGATAACGGGTCCCATTGAACATGTCCGCGTGGAGTCCATGAGTTCACAACTTGAAATATAAATTCATTGAATAGTTAACATTATAAATCAAATAATTACAATCAGCAATACGCATTTCTCGCATAACTAAAATATCAGTAGGTATAAATACACACATATTTTTTTTCTTTGTTTGTATAGTATAATATTATAATTCAGTAGTGTATAAAAATTGCGTAACTATAAATTATAATACAAAGTATGGAAATAAAAACTAAAATTTTCAATAATTTCCAAAATCATTATAACCAATTTAATAACTAATGAAAAAAATATTGATTCAAATTATCTCGTGTTTATCCCTGCAAAAGGGAGACATTTATTTTTATATTATTATACCTATCTTTAGTTATTCGCCACTTTTTTTCATAATTTTTCTTATATCTTGGTTTTTTACATTTTGTTATTTGATATAATATGTTTTTTTTATAAGCGCTTGAACTTCAAACGAGTTAACGAAATTCGTCAAATCCCCGAATATTTGTCAATTATTTTGTAGTTACAAATTTACAAAATATTTAATTTTTATAGGTAAGGATTGAAAATTAAAACCTCTTCTTATAAATTAGTATGTTACCATTTTATAAGGTACCTACAAATTTACACTTACCCTTAGTCACCTTATTATCGTGGCTTTCCGTGAATAATAATCGATTTTATACGTCAACCGAAATAAGTATGATTGAAGTATCTACTAAATACTAAATAGTATATTAATTAATATTTCTTATAATACAATACTACGAAAATAATATAGAAAAATACATAATATTGGTACCGTTTCGTTGGACGTCGACGATAACCGTTTTCCGGGGAAAGAAAAATGTATAGTTTCGTCAAAAATAGACGAAACCACAAACCCAAATACACTGTTAAAAAGTAGACATTTCACTGAATAACCACAAATGAAAGCAGATAACAGAAGCATTGCTCTGATGCCGGGTGAATTATTAAGCCTTAAGATGCCTATATTAATATTGTAGACTACGTGTCGACCGCGACACTCAACGTTGTTGAAACTGAACAATGGTCTGGAATTTATATTACCCGTAATATTTACTGTTCAACAATTATTGTGATTTACATAAATAGATTAAAAAGGGACTTAAAAAATTAACCAACATTATTACGGATAATAATAAGTTTATTTGACCAGAATACAAAATTTGATTAAGTTTAAAATAGTAAATATGTATAATAAATCACACAATGAAATAAATAAAATAATAAGTAGCAATAGTATAGTATTTGGCCCAATTCACCAGTGAGGTATATCCTCGAATTTGTGTTATAGGAGTCTAATCAATTAGGGGCTTAATTATTTAAAAAAAAATCAAAAATGCAATTATTATGAAAAAAGTAAAAAGATAAATAAATACATGAAATATGAGATAAAGTAATAAAATAGTGCACGTGAAAAAATAATATTATAGTATTTTATGTAGTAGGAAGTAATTTAGTTATTTGATAAAGATCAAGTATTATTCTTCATTACAGATTTGATTAATCACCTCCCCTGTAAGCTTATGCCACTAGTGTTGGAAACAGAGAGAGTTATGAATAATACAATATTATTCTTATTATTTTTAACTTATATTTATAAAAAACAAAGTTCAAGATAAAATATATAAATGATCATAATTAACTCACGTCATTCTCTAATTACAAAAAGAAAAAATATTTATATTTTAGGATTATTTTTTATTTAAATAATAATAAATAATAAATACAGAATAAGGATAGTTTAATTTTTAAACATTTTAAGGTATACCGTATTGGTTAGGTGTTAACACTATTTCCTTGGAATCTAAGCTCAGTAAATTTAGCAATTATTTTATTTCATAAAATATTTTAAAAAAATTTATCCTTTTTGAATTTAAAATGTTTTTTTAACGACTGGATCAACTAAAATCAACAATAAAAATGAGATTTAGACAAATCGTAAAAAGTAAACTAGATGGCTTAAATAAATGTATTTACAATCAAAATGTTTCTAAAACGACTAGGTTTGAGAAATAATAAGATTTACCTTTCGTAAAGGCTTTACAGCTTACATTTTTGAATCCAAAATGAAAGTATTTTTCAAAACTTTCCTCAACCCACTGACTACTAAACAGCAAAGCAGTCAATTTGTTAGTCATTTTTTTAACTAGTCAAAGTTAAAGTTACTTTAATACAAAAATGAACAAAGTTAGAATATAAGTTAGTTAAAATAAAATTAGATAAAATTTAATTTGGTGAAAATAGTAACTAACGTTGAGTAGAAGTTAGAAGTCAGTTATTTTTTATAGTTTAAAATATGTTAAGCTAAAACCTATAGATAAATTAATTACTCGGTGTCTCGGTATCGAACTTAAATTATTGGCGACGATATAGAACAATTTTATTGAACAAAAAATTTGTTATACTATTATGAAAAACAAATATAATGTATAAATCCTATTGGCCGTCTGACCAAGATAATATTAGATGGTAAAATATTTATGACAAATAACTCAATAATGTTACATAGGTAGTCGCTCATTAAATATAATAATACCATTTAAACTACAAATATTTTCGCAATCAAGTGTATTTCATGTTGGTCTGAAATTATATATAAGTCAAAATAAGTCGACGGTCGACTGTCGATAATTCCAAGGTGGTGGGACTTCAAAAAATGTTGAATTACTGAGAGTTCAAAATATCAAGAGTAGGGCAAAAACAATTCGAATTACTGAGTTGTGGAAACAATTTCGTACCTAGGATGATAATTTGATGATTACCGGAAGTAATTAATTAAATTTATACACAACTGTGAGATAAATTGTTAACAATACGATTGTAAAAATTATATTTTGGTGAATATACTTCGAAGTGCTGAGTGTGTTGAACTTCGAATATTGTCGTGTGCATTGATGCCTGATGGCTAGTTTTCCCTAAAATGTTACTACGAATTACAACCGAGTGAACTTAAATGCATTGTTTTTATTCGAATAATTACCTACTGCGAGATTTTGAAGGGAACGAGCAATTACTTCGAATTACCGAAAGTTTCGAATTATCGAGTTTCGACTGTAATTTTAATGATTCAATCACCTTTAAGAAACATAATATTAAGCTTTTAGATTTAGCTGGAGCATAAATTTAATTTTGTTATGTAATGTAACTTATATATTTTCATCTTTTAGTATTTTTTACTTTATTCTGGTAACTGTATTAATCTCTATTAAACTTGACATTCATTTATTCTTGTAAAATACGATCATTTAAAAAGGAATAGTCCATTTTATACCTAGGAATATATTTGTCTCTTAATACAATGTTTATATTCTAAAGAATATTTTATTGTGTTACTTATATTGTTCTCTTATTTATATTTTTAAGGACTGCTCTCTCAGCACAAGCTTTGCTTACAGGGGATACTGCAGTATTGGGATTCTAAAATTGCATGCAATTTATTTTATTGAAGTAAAAACTTATATAAAATATTTAATTTTTATGAAAAAAATCAAATTTTATTTTAAAACTTTAGTGAGTAGGACAGTAAACACCTCTACTTGGTTAAATGTTGAGTGGACAATGATACTGAAAGTATTGCTTACATCGTACACTATGTAAATTACATAATAACATTTTCTATCTTACACAATATATTTTGTACCAACTACCAATAAGCATCTCTACGTCGTGGTCGGGAATTAAATATTGATAATCACTAATCGGTAATCAGGTATGAAGTCAGTCTGTGACCATCTGGTGATGATTTTTTATGAAACAAATCAAAAAACACAAAATTTAAATTTAAATTAAAAAAAAAATGTTTTTCAATGTATTTTATATGTACTTTATCATAACCCTAGGTCCAGTATTGCACACTTAACGTGATTTTGATGTGAAAAACTGTTGGTGTTGCGATAAACGTATTATTGTAATTACTATTTATCATTCACTAATACGCATTATGTGTTCAAAACAATGTGCAAAGAAAAAGTTGTTCAACATATAATGTTTCAATCGAGAATGATCCAAATCGTGGACATAATATCTGACAACCGATCGATTCGGACTCGAAGAAATAAAAACACGCTAATGCACGGAAATGCTAGTCCTGGACTCATTTCAATAATAATAACAACAACAATAATAATATTATTACCGTTGTGCGCGCAGGCCGGTCGGTCCGAGACGCCGCTGCCGCCGCCGTGCAGGTTACGCGGGCGCACCGACTCCGCGGCGGTGCGGTGTTTCGGTGTAACCGTGTCGGCCAACCGCCGCACCGTGGTCGCGCGCGTCTTCCGCACCGGTGCGGGTGGACGCGCCGGGTCATCTCCGCGGTCTGGTTCACGGTTTAGACCACGCGCGCACGGGGCGGCAGTGGCGGCGGTAACGACACACACACACACACACACACACACACACATAACAACAACAACAACAACCGCGGCGGCGGCGGTGATCTCTAGCGCGCTCGTTCCGCGCCGCCGCGCCATCACCACCCCCGCGCACTCGCCAGCCCGACGATCCGTCAGATGCTCTGCCGCGCATGCGCGTGCGCGCGCGATACGTTCGTGCGCGATCGGCCGCCGCCGTTTTGGCGGTGAAGAGGAGTCGGCGCGCGCGGCTATCGACGTTTCGGGGCAACGCGCGCGTACTATAGTACGCGACCGTACGGACTACGAATCCACCGCCGCCGCCTGCCAGTCTTGCGTGTGCCGTGTGTCCGTGTGCGCGTACGCCGTCCGCTCGAAGGTACGCACAGTCTCCGCGTCCGCGCGGCTCCATCGCGCCATCCAAAGAGATTCCCGACTACGCACACACACACACACACACACATACATATACACCGTCGTGCAGACGCCAAGCGATATTGTCGCGTACCAAGCGGTAAGACACCGGCGGAAAGAAACGCGCGCGCGCGCGCGCTCTCGCCCCCGGTCGATCTCGCCCGTTTTACGCCCTCGGCGCGGGGCGGCGCTTTCCGGAGCGCACCACCGCACGCCACCCGCCGCGGCCACCGGCACCACCGGCACCGACACCGAAGCCGCCGCCGTCGACGACACACTAGCATCAGACCATGTGGATCGCCCGCTGCCCGGAGCTGCACCACCGTCGCCGTCGCCGCTGACCGTATACTATTAAACCGTCTTCCGCGCGAAAGAGACGCGCCATGTGCAGCAGCCGATAAGCGCATCGTACTGCACAGTCAGAAGAGCGCCGTTGCACATTCCGCATAATATTATCTTCGATACATACTCTATAGTGGCCACAGACCAAGATGTAGGCGAACAAATCGAGAGGATCAAGACGCTGCTTCAGCAGGTGAGAGACACTCGCTATATAGCTCCGAGGATATTGTTATTGTTATTGTTGTATGATATAATAATATGTACATAGGTGTTGGGTGGTACATTTTTCTCTAATATAATATTACTGTCGCGGATATAGTAAAATCTGTATAGGTACCTATTATAGGTATCATCTGGTCAAATACAGATGAGGTAATTGTCTACGTCCGTTTGGTATATATGGTAATTATATATATACCTAGGTATATACTGCAGTAAATAATAATAGTATTTGAAAACTATTTTTTTGTCATGATATCACCACAATAATGCACAGTAACTATATATCACGGTTCTCTACTCGAATTTTTTAATACTTCTGTCGATTCGTTTTGCCATTAGTGTGTGCGAGTGAATGAGAGATAATAATGATGATAATAATATCATGCCTAGTTGTGCTTATTTCTTGTTGCCCCCGAGGAACGATCCGCGAATGAAATATCTTCTTCGGCCGCAGATGGTCAAGACAGAGCGCCATCGCCTACGCCATTCCTATTCCCGCGGAGTTGTTTCTATGATATTAATATTATCATATTATTGTTATATAGTTGCTCGAAGCGCGTTCTAATGTCATGCAACTATGGTAACATTCACTCGTTGGTTTTTGACGAGTCTCCAGAGCGTTTCTTTCGTTTTGGGTTTCGGCGCCGCTTGCAGTTATCGCGGGCTAACGAATACTATAGCGATATTATATAGGTAGCGTAGATCCACGAAAAATTTCCAAAAAAAATTAAGAAAATTACAAAATTACAGGGCTAGGTTAGGTTAGGTTAAGAATATACCTATAGTCATTTTTTATTTTTGTCATAAAAAGTACTCTATACTGCACTCGTGCACGACATTTTTGTAGTCGGAAAAGTATGAAGTACACTCAATGGCCCACATTTTTTTGGGGGGAGGCTGCAGCCCTCGTTTTCTGTTCTTATTAACCTGCAGTGTGTGGACATTTCCCACCCACACACACCCTTATTCAACTAAGTTGCATGTATAATATTGCAAATTCGATTTGTTTGTTATAGATATAAATTTGCATCGATATTATTATTTTATCCGCAATTTATGATTCACCATGAGCGTTTCTTTCGTTTGAGTTTCGGAGCCGCCTGCAGTTATCCGCTCAGTTCAATGAATATTATATAATGTAGATCACACAAACGCAGATTAATCATTTTGTTTTTATTCTTTTGTCGTAAAACGTACTCTACACTTGAAAATCATTAAATTGAAAAAGTATAAATAGTAGGACTCGTTTAGTAGATTCAGAGCCCAGAGGCAAATATTTTTGGGGAGGGAAGTTATGTAGCCCTCATATTTTCATCCCATTATTCTGTGCGTGGACATTTCCCACCCCATGTACATTTCCACTAACATAGTTGGTATATATCATTGCAAATGTCTTGCTCTTAATAGATGTATACAATTAACATCGATATTTATGTTATTAAGTTTATTGATATTCATCCGGTACATGATTACCCTTTAATAGTGACGTATTTTCGAATTATGATTGTTTTAATTTTTGTATATAAGTCTTAAATACCATAATATATTTTCAATTATATGCAGATTGTTCCGATTACGAAATCAACGCGATCGTTTATACTTTATACAGGGAAAAAGGTTGACTATTGCTTGAGAAAATAAGTTGGACTTCGGTATATAGGACACTCGTTTTAAGTGCGGTGCACCGCCGGATCTAAGCATTTGCCAGATGGCAAACGTGGAATTGGTCCCTGAGTCAATAAAAGAGTACGATTTGGTTCCCGAAAAAAATACTTTCCAGTATACAACTGTTCGAATTTGTTCCCGAATAAAATTACTTATCAGTTTATCAGTATACAACTCACTGTTACAAGATACTACGTATATGTACAATGGATAATCTTATAATATTAATAATTTTTACTTGTTCACATAATTTAGAGATATCCAGCAATATGAAAACAGTATTATTGCCCAAAATTATTCTACCAGAGTTTTATAATTCATGGTGTAAAAGATAACAATTATTTTCCCTTAGTGTTTTTCCTCCTGCCCAATAAGAACAGTACTACTTATATACAAGCATTTCGATTTATAGATCATATTTTTTTGGCCATTTTTAACCATACCTAAGTATTCGAGATAGTGTTTGAACTATTCGATCTTATTTGAATTTTATAGACAGTCATAAGTCTGAAGAAATGGGAAGGAAATTGTTGCTGGTTGAATATATCATAATAATTTGAAAAGTTAATTTAACAAGGTTGTATTATCATGAAAGCTTGAACCATTATTCAATTATCGTGGAACTAATTCGTATTTTACCTGTAGACAACCCTGGAACCAATTCGACAATTGGGAACCAATTCGTAGTCGTCCTGCCAAGGATCTCCCCAACAGTCTTCTCGCAGCTGCACACTCGTCATTCTATGCTGAATCGAATGTAACATATTTTTCGTAACTTCCATCATCAGATAGAATATTTTCTTTTTTGGGGGGGGGGGGCTAAGGCCCCGGAGCCCCACGACCTTACGCCTAGAGCCCCCGTGTATTTAGTAGGTATAGGTTCTTAATATATGTTGATACCTAATATACCCTATATTTTGGTATAGATACCATATATTAGACGAGTTTTGCCGTTTCGTTATTCAGCCCGACGTTATAATATTATTACGACGATTAAACGCAATGATAATATAATAATACAAAATAACAAAATATTATTGTTTATACGTATAGGATAGGTATAATTATAGTATAATATCACTGTTTTACTATGTGTAATATTATATCATTATACTATGTTACATACATACGTTCCCGGTCAGGGTAACCAATATATTATTATGCGTCGTGTTATTATTTTTATTATTATACACAGTTAACTCTCTCGATACAACCCAGATTTTGAGGGACGCAGAAAAAAAGTCTTTTTCGTCGCTGTATTCGTTATAATAATAATAATAATAATAATAATAATAATATACGACGTCAGAGCGCGTAAACCAACAAAGTTCGTAATCTGCACCTCGAGATTTAAGGGAAAATGTAAATCAACACGCACTATATATACACAGATTGTTATTAGGTTTTCTTAGTTTAATAATATACGCGAATATGTAAAACCACGAAATATTGCATATTGTATACACGCGGATCAGCTGCAAAGTTTGTTTGATAAAAAATCTGTAATTTTCGTGTCCTCCCGGCGGAAGTGTAATAAATAATAATAATATTTGACTCACGTCACTAAGCTTCCCTCCTTGCATGTAATTTTCGTTTTTTTAAATTCGGCTATAGGATCGGGTAAACAAGATTGTTTTAAAAAACAATCCCGTCTCGCAGTCTGCGTCGAACACAATATTTTTCGACTCGGAGGTGTGCACTAATACCTAAGTACCTCCATAACAAGTCACAAAAAAGTCATAAAAAACGAATAACAAGTCTTGACGTTTCGCACCTTCCAGTCGTCTCGGACAGGGCTGTCATGGCTTACTCAAGTTGCTGTCGACGTGTATCCTGTCGCCTACATCTTAACTGCGATAATGTACTCGATAATCTTCTGAAAAACTCCGAAACGATAAGCCCGTCCAGAACTGTAAACATTCGTTACTTCGCCACTGCGCTTAGGCCAAAGAATTTCTTCACACTCAAAATCCATTTTAATATAGTTTTCTATTATAGTATTATACATTATGTTGCTAGCTGACTAGGATGTTCACCCTAATAATGTTCACCCCCTCACCATTATTTTTTTTTTCACTTGATTTCGTAATTTATTTAAATCCTGACTTTTGAAGTTCTTAAACATGCCTACTTAAGACCATATTATTATTTTTCGAGTTCTCGGGTTTATCCGGCGTGCTGCTTTAGGAGTGTCTTGTATATAGCTGTGGTACAAACTTTTGTTTTTCAAAGGAGATAGTATTTACTGTTGTCCACAACGCAGTTTCTCGGTCATTAAAATGTTTCAACTATAAATCGCGATAACAATTCTTAAAAATGCTTTTACAAAAATATAAAATAGATAAAATATATTGGATTCAGAGTGGACAATTAATTATTTTTCTTCAAATGACCGCTCTCAGAATCACTTAGGTACCAGCTAGCTAACAGTCTTAAACCAGCCAAACATATTGTAGTTATTCTTACGATATTTTTTCTTTATTTAAAAAACGAATACTTTTGAATATCTCAAAGCTGTCTAAATGATCATATTATTATATAATATGGTATTATGGACAAAGTAGAAAAATGGAGTTTTCCAACACGATATTATATATTATTGTACCCAATATTATACATATTGAATTATAGTATTATAATATCGGAGTAGATGATAATTTCGTCTTCAAGTTTCGCAAGTACGAAATCACATATATCTTACCTGGTTTTGAGTTTAAATCTATTTATTCTGTTTTTCAGTTTACTTAATGTGTACTGTGCAGTTAATTTTATTTGATTCAATTGTATAATATACTTCATCAAAGCCAATGATAAATTCACCCTAATTGTGTACCTATGCCTATTGCCTAATTGGATGAAGTTTGAGTGATATTTTTTCGGTTTTACCTACATTTTTGTTGTTGTTTTTTTTTCAAATCGTAAACGCCTTCCGTTAGGTTAGGTTCGGCACCACTCAGAATCTGTTTTTAAGTTGCGAGCTGCGGTATGTTTTTATTGTTATCATTATTTTTTTTATAAATCTGTTCACAGCAGACGTTATATTATGATAACGCATTCCGAACTACAAGCACCCATCTACCCATATCGTAGCGGTATTGTGTCGGTATAGTCCCACAATAATTAACACGTCGTTAATCAGTCATCACAAACTCAATATGTTTATAATATAATATCCCGGGACTATAGTATAATATTATTTCCCTCAAGCAAATAAGTAAATTAGACATCTACCTATATGTACCAGGCAATCAATCATTCATCAACATATTAATTATTACAGCTACCTCCAGTAGGTTATCTAGGTAG